GTAGTCGGACAGAGGGGGGGGCGCAACAACAAGGGAGGACGGAGGAGGCGACAGGAGAAGGGGAGGACGAGATGCGTGGGAATGAAGCAACAAAGGGTGAGAGCGCGAGAGGGGAGACATGGGAGACAGGTCACGGGAGGGACGGCGAGACCAGACGTGAGACGGAGGCGTCGGGTCAAGAGACAGAGGAGGGGACACAAGAGGGGAAGGAGGGGGGAAACGAGCCGAAGACGAGTCCGGAGGAGGGAACACAGGGCCGTAGACAGGAGGAGCAGGAGGCACAGACGCGGGGTCAGGGGACGGAAGGCCGAGCAGGCGAAGAGCTGACACCGGCGGGGACTGCTGCTGTGGCGCTGCGACACCGACACCGGGACCGCAAGCCGCCGGACGGCTACCTCCAGAACACTCCACTCCAGCACCCCCAGAAGGAACTCACCCAGAGCTCATCACCCCTCGAGCACCGCTACCACCCCCAGGCCCGCCGGGACGAGCCACATTAGGAGTCTCTGGACTAGTACCCATCCCAACTCCAACACCCCCAGAGTCAACGAACTGCTGCGGCGACGGCTGCGGCGGTGGCGGCTGCAACGGCGACGACGGCTGCGACAGCAATGGCGACGGCGGCTACGGAGGCAGCGGAGGAGGAGACACCTGAGGAGGGGCAGGCATCGAGGACTACGCCGCAGGACCACCCGAGTCAGCAGACTCCTCAACGGGGACAACCGACGTAAGGGGGGTGACGTGGGACACACCAAAGGGCGCAGGACGGGGAGGGGGAGGGGGAGGGGCAGGGACTACCGGGGAAGGGGTGACCAGGAACAAGGGGGGGGTAACCGGGGGACCTCGGTGGGGGAAGCGGCGGTAGAAGGAGACGGACTCGTCAAAGGTGACGTCGCAGGAGTGAAAGAACCTGTGAGACGGCGGGTGGTAGAAGTCCCAGTTAGACGCGTCAAGGGGGAAATCGAGGAAGACACAGGGAAGGGTGCGGGCAGTGAGCTAGTCCGTGCCAGAGGCACGAACGTGAGCAAGATAGCCCCTGATGTGAAACGTAGATGCGTCACCAGGTGACCCAGACCAAACAAGGGTCGGCGAAACCTGCGGCTGCTGGGGGTGCGGCCATAGGTTAAGCTGGTGAGCGGCGTAGCGAACAAGGAACGGCCACAGAAAATGGGGGGCACCCGCATGGATCATGGAGGTGCGAGCAACCTCCATGACCAAACCGATGCGTTGCTCAACGACCCCATTCTGCTGCGGGGAGTCCGGCAAGGTGAACGTCTAGGTGATGCCCTCCGCACGACAGAAACGACCAAGGACACCAGAGACAAACTCGCCACTACGGTCGGAGTGGAGACGCAAGACAGGGAGACCGCGGTGGACATGCGCAGAGACAAGCCACGGGATGAGAACGTCAGGCACGTCGGCCTTCCGCTCCAGGGGGAACACCGTGGTGTAGCGCGTGTAGTCGTCGACAAGCACTAGGAAGTAGCGCTCTCGACGCGGCCCATGGACAGGGGTGTGGCCCCAGACGTCCATGTGCAGAGTCTGTAGCGGTGCGGCGGTAGGGGGAAATGAGGAGGAGTGAGGAGCACGGTGGAGCCGGCCCTCGACACAGGGCGTGCAAGGTGGGGCTGGGGAAGAGGGAAACTCGGGGAACGACCCGGGGAGGCCTAGGTTGAGACCGTGCTGGGATATGTGACGCAGACGCGGGAGTGCAGGGTGACCTAGGCGGTGGTGCCGAAGGAGGGTCGGGTGAGTGAGTGACCGACAGGAGCAAGCAGCAGCAACCTGAGTAGACGCAGCCACCTGAGGGGGCGTCCCAGCCGGGGAAGTCACAGTGTCCAGTGTGAAAAGGCCAGACACCAGGTCCTGTGGGAACGTGGTAAGGGGGGCACTAGTGGCGGCCTCGGTACAGACAGCGTACCGCTCGTGACCAGGGAACGTAGTGGTGACGCCAAGGTCCTGGAGTCAGCCGACACCAACTAGGTTCCTGGAGAACGAGGGGATGTGCAGACCTGTGAGAGAGCCCAAAGGAACCGCCGGACAGGGAAGGGTGGTGGAACTGCGGGCGACTACAGGGCAAGAGAAATTGCAGCAGGAACAGGAAGCGGCGTCAGCGTAGTGGAGTCGCGGAAGAAACACCGGGAAGCGCCAGAGTCCAAGGTGAAGGAACGCGCGGTAGTGTCGGCCGTAGTCGAAGCAGCGACGAAAGCACCAAGGCAAAACAAAGCAGGGGATCCTACGCCTGACACATCAGGGTAGTCTAAGCTAGGCACACCTACACTAGGCAACAAGGGGTAATAAGAAGGAAGCACACTAGAATCATCAGCATACATCACATGCAAGGTAGTAACAATCACATCCATGTCCATATCAAAGATCGGGACGCTACGACGAAGCAAGCTGTGCCAGTCTGGGAGCTCGGGCGACGGGCCAAAGCGCTGACGAAACATGTCGTCCAGGCGACGGAAACAGCGGACGGAGGTGTGGCCGATCTTACCGCAAACGAAGCCACGGCGAGGACCGGTCTGGAGCTGGTACTGACAGCGCGCGTCACCCGAACCACCACCCGGCAGCCCACCACGCGCACGACCACCACGTCCAGCACCACCACCAGCGCCAGGCCACCCGGGCGGGAGACCAATCGCCCGTCTCAGCTGCTGCGGCTGCTGCGGCGGCTGCGGCTGGTGCGAGGACTGCTGCAGCGACTGACGCGTGTTCGGCTGCAACACCTGCGGCTGCAGAGACGGCTGCTTGGCTGCACCTGTCAGGGTCCCCTCGTCCGCGCCACCACCAGGTAACCCAACTCCACCACCACCTACACCGGAACCCCCACCCCCTCCGCCGCGCCCAACCTTGGGGCGGCGACCCTTCCCCGAACGGACCCGTGCTGCAGCGGCTGTCTCAGCCACAGCAGCAGAACCGTCGGAGAAGGTGCACTGAGCGGGGGCACAACCCTGAAAGATAGGGACCGGCACAGTACCGCTGGTCTGGGCGATAGAGCGGTGGCGGGCCTTTATGGCGGGCAGGGTGTCAACAAAGTCAGTGAGGGTGAGGTCTCCGGGGTGGACGCTAAGGAAGCAGTCGCGGGCAGTGGCAAGGCGGTCAGGGAGGCGGGTGGCCAGCAGGTAGAGAGCAGAGCAGAGGGGCGGCTGGTGAGCGCGAAGCTGTGTGTCAGTGCAGGCAGCGCGCCAGGTCTCGCCTATAGTGCGCAGGTGGCCGGCCAGATCAGCGATAGTGGGAAACGACGCAAGGTCCCCAGAGCATGGGGAGGATCAGGCGACCTACCGAGGCAGCAGGCGGGGTGGAGTAGCGCTGGACAGCAGCATCTAGGAAAGCCTGGGCAGTGGTGACAGACCTAAAGCGAGGGCGCTCAGACAGGGGGAGGGCATGGCTGATAGCAAGCTGTGCGATAGCATCACGCGACAGCCAGACGGAGTGAGCAAGGGCAGCGGCTGCAGCAGATTCACGCTCAGCAGACGAGGGGTCAGAGGGCAGTGCAGCAGGAGGGTCAGGGCAGGGGAGCGTACCGTCAAGATGGACAGAAAGCGAGTGGCCATCCTGCCGCTGACCAGTGAGCTGACGGCGGAGGTTGGCCAGCCACGCCTCAAACTCAATCGGTTGGCCCTCAGCATCAAAGCGAAGCACCTCCGCCATCAAGAATGATGCAGGGCGGTGTAGAGCGGTGCAGTGCGGCGCCGTGCGGTGCAGTGCGATGCAGTGCGGTACAGCGCGGTGCAATGCGGTGCAGTGCAGTGTAGCGCGGTGCAGTGCGATGTAGAGCGGTGCAAAGCAGTGCAGAGCAGTACAGTGCGGTGCAAAGCGGTGCAGTGCGGTACCAGGGGGGTTGTAGGGCGGTGCTGGTCGAGAAGAACGGGCCGGGCACGAGTCGGCGGCGGGCCGGCGGCGAAGCGAATGCAGGGCTGGCGACGATGGCGGACGCAAGGGGCCGGCCGGCGGACGGCGGACGCGAGGGGGCGGCGAGGACGGCGGACGCTAGGGGCCGGCCGGTGGACGGCGGACGCGAGGGGCCGGCATGGGGCGGGCACAGGGCCGATGAGGAGCGGGCACGATGGGGGCCGGCTAGGAGCGGGCACGGCGGCACGAGGAGCCGGCTAGGTGAGGGCCCGACGGCTCAGGGGAGGAACGGCCGGGACGGGCGCGGCGGCGAGAAGGGGCCGGCTAGGGGCAGGCGCGACGGCGAGCAGGGCCGGCTAGGACGGGCGCGACGGCACACGGGGCCGGCTAGGGACGTACTCAACGGCGCAGGGGGCCGGGTAGGACGATCGCGACGGCTGCAGTGTTCTTGCTAAGTTTTAAGCCCGTCTGAAAATCAGACGGGGTTTCAAAATTTCGTCTGACCATCATATGAGCACATTTCTCAGGTCTGAGGTTTCAGACGAAACGTACACCGATGTCTGAACTTTCAGACGAAACTCACACGCACACTCAGGGTTAGCTGATTGAGGGAGTGATATTTGAAAAGACTGGGTGTTTGAGCGTCATCCGTTCTTCGCTAGCCCGATCTTGCTCATCGCAAAAAAAAACCGGCTAATCTTGATCTTGCCCATCGCAAAAAAAACCCAGGAATGCGATTGGGTGAGGGAGGAACTTCAGGCTTTTTTTTGGGGGTGTGGAAGGAGTGTACCTGGCAGTGGGGGACATCGGGAATTAGGTTGGGAGCGTCGTAAGGAGGAATATATCTGGTGTAGGGGACTAAGCTGGAATATCTAGTGTGCGGGACTTAGCCGAAAACAACAAGTTGCGAGGGGCGTTGGGGGAGGATTGTATCTAGTGTGCGGGACTGAGCGGAAAACAACAAGTTGAGAGGGGCGTTGGGGGAAGAATGTCTCTGGTGTGGTGTGAGGAACTTGGCCGTTACCAACCTGGACCTGGGATCAATGGGTTTGGTGGGTGGAATTGTCGCTGTCAGACGAGAATATCCTCGCTATCTGAAATCTCATATGAACCGCTAGACTGAAGTCTGTGAATTCAGACAAAACTTTATAACAAGTATGGACGTTCAGACGAAATATTAGACCCCGTCCAAAAATCAGATGAACAGCAAAAAACGGGTCTGATTCTCAGACCATCAGACGGATTTCGTCTGCTATCGGGAACCCTGGACGGCTGCTAGGAACGGCCGCGACGACTAGGAACGGCCGCGACGACTAGGAACGGCCGCGACGACTAGGAACGGCCGCGACGGCGGCTAAGGACGACCGCAACGGCTAGGAACGGCTGCGAGAACGGCTAGGAACGATCGCGACGACGGCTAGGAGCGTTCGCGACGGCTAGGAACGGCCGCGACGGCGGCTAGGAACGGTCGCGACGGCTAGGAAAGACCGCGACGGCGGCTAGGAACGGCCGCGACGGCGGCTAGGAACAGTCGCGATGGCTAGGAACGACCACGACAGCGGCTAGGAACGGTCGCGGCGGCTAGGGACGGCCGCGACGGCTGCTAGAGACGGCCGCGAGACGACTAGGGACAGCCGCGACGGCTAGGAACGGTCGCGACAGCGTCTAGGAACGGCCGCGACGGCGGCTGGGAACGGGCGAGACGGCAGCTAGGGACGGGCGTGACGGCTAGGGGCGGGCGTGACGGCGGCTAGGGCCTAAGGGGGAAGCGTGGGCGGGCTAGGGGGGGGGCGAACCTACTATGATACCATATCAAAATGAGTAGTTAGTAGAATAGAAGGATACAGGGTATATAGACTAGGGGTTGTACCCTCTAAGGCACAATCCAGTATAGTTTACAGTAATTACATAAGTTACATTTGACAGGTACAACCCCATTTTCTTGACGTTTTCCCTTAGTAACTGTTCTTGCGCTACTCTAACACGAAGATCTTCTAGGGCGTTCCCAGTGGGTCTCTTGACAATTTCAAACACTTTCTCGAGGAGATTAATGCATTTGAATACAAATTCAAAGAGCTATACTTTGATATGTTTCGACACATCTTCCATAAAACCTTTGGTATAAATACAAGGGCTTATATTTCTTGTTTCATTACAGCCACGTGAGATTTTGTCAAGGTATCCTCTTTAAGCACTATGCATCATGATTCGGGCGATTAAGGTATATGTTAGCGTTTGTACAAGCTATGTGGACAAAGGTGTTGATAGCAGGTAATATCGGATGAAGCCTAAACCCGTGCATCCTACCTACTGGTGATCAATAGCTATCACTACTGACGGCTGCAGTCGAGTTTCTATTTCCTACACGACCTTTTGCCAACCGCCATATTCTTTGAACAGGTACAGCGTTCTGTGGCGCTTCGCCCGCGCAATGTCGTTCCGCGTGGGCCGCGTCAGCCACGCGCCCGTGCGCGCGTCGTTGCGGAAGGCGCAGGCGGGCTCCACCTTGAGGTTTTCGACGCGGCACGCTTCTCGCAGGTTAAAGCGGCGGAACTTGACGGTCACGTTGCCTTTGGAGTAGTCGCTCTTCAGCGGCAGCCAGAACGACGCGTCCCAGATCGACCCCTGTGCACGCGCGGACGGGCAGAGATGAGTTTCCAACACTTGTAGGCGCCTCACGCACGGTAGGGTGGATGGATGCCTATTCAGCGGGGAATTGACTTCATTGCGACGTGGACCGCGGCAAGGCGGGTGGCGAAAGAGTCGGGGTGGATCTCATGGCATTGCGAGTGGGGAAATGGCGGGTGGACGGGTGGCAGACCGGTAGGTCCACATGAGAAACGGGCAGCGGGAATGCTACTCAGGCCGCATGATAGGTCTCACGCTCACGGGCGGAGGGGGGAAGGGGGACGGGGGTAGGGGTGTTGGGGGAGGAAAGGGGGAAAGGGAAGAGGAGAAGAGAGGAGGGGAGAGGATGGGAGAGGGGAAGTTAGAGGGGAGGGAGGAGGGGCAGCGCACCATGATCTTCATGGGGAGCGAGGGGAAGGGCTTGCCGGACTCGCGCCACGTGATGCGGATGGGTCGGCCGTCGATCTTCCAGACGAGCCAGTTGGGCGCGTAGACCATGGTGTACGTGTGGAAGGCGGCCGACGGGTCGAACGCGAACTTGTACTGTGAGGACGGGGAAGAGGGGGGGTAGGGGGAGGGGGGAGAGGAGGCTAGGGGAGTGGGAGAAGGGGGGAAGAGGGGGGGGGGAGGGGGGGTACGAAAGATGGCGTCCCATTTGGACGCGTACACCATGATCTACATGTGAAAGCCGTAGAGGTCGAACGCGAAATGTAGAGCAAAAGATTCGCCAGGGGCATGTGTGCATTTCCACTCGGCGCCCCGAATCTGCCTCTGAACCACCCAGAAACGGCGTGCGCTTCATGCAGCTGTCCTGCCACCACTCACCTGCTCGACAGGTGTTCCTCCGGCAATCACGTTCATGCGGATCCTTATGTTGGGGAGAGTCGTTCCTCCATCGTTCATCTCGTTCCAAGGCCGGCCCACTCCACTCACCTGCTCGACGTTGGTGTACCCCCCGGCAATAACGTTAGTGTGGACTCGAATGCTGGAGGGGTCGCTGCCGCCGAGGAACTCGAAGTCCATCTCGTCGTGCACGTCGCGGTAGTCGAGGTTCTCGCCCGAGATGAGGTAGATACACGGGATGAGCCCGCCCGAGTACCCCGAGGGGAGCTTCATGTTCACCTCGAAGACGCCGTACTGAAAGTAGCTCTTCGACTCGAACGCTGCGCGCACGCACGGAGGGAAGATATCGGGGAGAATAATCTCAGTGTTGCGGGCAGCTCCATTGTCACCTCGAAGATGGCGCACTGGAAGAAGCGCTTGGACTCGAACGCTGCGCGCACGCTCATCGCACGCGAGGAAGGCCTCGGTTCTAGGCGGGGCAGCTCTGTGTTTCGACTCGTTCTTTGCAAAACGCATCGGAGTCACCTTTCAGGCAGGAAAGTGAATGAGGGATGATCGGCAAGGCGAACTAGTGTAGATGCCATTGTGTTCCCCTGCCGAAGGCGTACCTCCCATCTTGTTCTTGGCGGCCGTGAGCTGGACGGTGCCGTCGGGCAAGACTTTGCACTCCGTGCCATTGCAGAAGGACGGCAGGCGGAAGTGAATGCCGAACGAGGGGTCGTAGTGGGGCCTGGACACGCACCACGGGACTCCCGCGAGGACCAGCGCTACGAGCAAGAGGGCAGTGCGAGCTGGCATGGCGGCGTGTGTATCGCTAGGACTATTGAGAGGAGCGGGCTAGGTGCGAATGCGAGGAGAATGACTGCACGAAGAGAGACAAGCCGCTTGAAGGCGCACGAATCGTGAATCACTTTGCAGCTGGGAGGCATTAGCCTTTATCCGTGGGCACACTCCATTCAGCCCCACTGCACGCACACATGCATAAGCAGCAAAATGTGTCCATAGGCTAGGTAGGTGACACTCGCTGCCGCCGACCGACGAGTCCATATTTTCCAAGGTGGGTCGAAGCGCGACCAAGGGTGCGCGAACAGAGAGCTGTCGCCGCCACCTAGGCTCGAGGGGAAGCTCGACCCAGGGCTGGGCTTGCTTTGGCCCGACGGGAGTGTAGTCTAGGACTGAAGTACTTTTCGGTAGTCGATTTTCATCTGCAATTTCTGGCAGCTAGAAGTGTCGCGTCGGGGGTAATGTGATGCGTGGTGGTGGCACAAGCAAGCGACCGATACAAGTCGAAACGCCTTGAAGAGAATGTACTGTAACGCGGGACGAGAGTTGTCACTAGAATCACGAGCCGCAGGGATGTAGATTGCGGTAGAGAACACTGAGTAAAAACGATTGTACCTTATGATACCGAAGTAGCTTACACTATGGGTTTTGAAGCAGCACACTGAGTGAAATATATATGGGCGCCAGGTTTAAGTATTTTTATAAGAGTGAATCCAATGTATGAAATCATAAATAGACGTACTTTGGACCAGCATAATTGACCATATTTACAATATGTAAAATAATAATCAGAATTTTACCAAATGATTTTAATTCTACATAAAATGAGATTTAATTTTTTTATTGAATCCTAGAGGTCAAGAATTGGAACTAAGATTCCTCCTCATGACACCAGCTAGGCCAATCTGTTTTATATGGTTAATTCCAAAGAATGTGTTACATCTAATTATAGTCCGAAAATATGGCGCGAACTGAGCACTTCAAATCTCCCGTACCCTTTCAGAGAGTGCTGTTGGACCTCCGCCAGCACCTCGAGAATCTCTGTTTTACGGACTCCGCGTGTCAACAGTCATGCCTTCCGCCTATTACGCTTCCGAAGTTGTGAAACTTATGAAAGCGTTGGCTTTAGCGTGTTTGCTATAGCTAAAAGGACTTATGGCTCTACCGGGGTGCAGTAGATCGCGTCGCCTTCCATCGCGTCAGTCGCGCGCCGCCTCCTCGGCTCGGCGCGTGGTGCTGCTTCGACGGCCGTCGTCGCTGCTCCACTCCTCCGTCCTCCTCCTCAGCTGCATCGTCTCGCTCTCGCCACGTGGCTCGGCCTTACTGACTGGCAGTGCGCACTGGCGCAATGTCGAGGCCCAATCGCGCCATTCCACCAAACCGTCGCAGCCCGCGTGGAGGGTCAACGGGGAGGCGGAAGGGGAGAACGCGTGGGAGGGGGAACACCGCGGGACGCGTGGGGGCGCGGAGCGGGCGGGGGCAACGACAGCCGCGTGGAGATGGGGCGCGGTAGGGGATGGGGGGGAGGAGGATGGGGGACAGGGGGTGTTCAGTGGCGGAAGGAATGCGGAAAGGGTTGTGGCGGAGGGGGATGCGAAGGGCAGAGAAGGGAGCGCGTGGGCCGGTGGGGGAGGTGAGCGGATGGGCATGGGCACGGAAATGGGTCGGGGGGGCAAGGGAGCGGGGGAGAGGAGGGGAGTGAGAGGCGGTCGCGGAGGGGATGCGGCGGCAATGGCATGGGGGGAGGCGGCGGCGTGGGGAGGGGTGATGGTGCACCGGGCGAGATGGCACTCGCACCGCCAGGGGAAGGGCGGGCAGGGGGACGGTGGGCAGGGAGATCCCGAAAGGATGATTGCGGGTGAGCGAGTGAGCAGGGAGGAGGTCATGATGGACGGGGTACCGGATGGCGGGAAGCCATTGCAGCGTGCCGCAGCAACGGACATACACATGAGCGATGGCGGTGGCGGTGGGGGTGGGGGTGGGGGTGGGGACGCAGAGGCAGCGAGGGGAGGTGCCTGGCAGCACCACACAATGTGGCACTCCACCCATGCGGCGAGGGGCGGAGAGGAGGGCGGGCGGGGGGAAGGAGAGGAGGGAGGGAAGGTGGAGGCAGCAGAGGTAGATGTCGGGGAGACGGGAAGCAGGGAAGCGAGGAGAGACGACGGCACGGCAGGCGTGGCCGCTGCAGAAGCCGTGGATGGGGTATGGCACGAGGGTGGTGGAGGCAGGGCGGATGGGGGCAGGGCTGTGGATCGAGGAAGCCTGGGGCAGATGAGGCATGGGGGGAGAGAGGGAGGCGAAGGGAGTGCGGGACATGCGCGAGGAGGTGAGGGCAGCCTAGCAGGGAGGGCTGGCATGCCGCGAGTGCAGCACCATGCGCTGCTGCACCACCATGCCATGGCGCCCCCTAGCGTGGCTCCCCCAGCCCCGCCAGGGGGGCTCACAATGGTCGGTGAGGGCACTGGGGGCGTGGGAAGGGGAGGTGGCATGCTACAACGCCATGCGCTGCTGCATGCGCATGAAGTGGCGGGTGTGGCGCCTCCATCCCTGCTACTGGGGCCCACAATGGCTGGTGGTGAGGTCGGTGGAGGAGGGAGAGGTGACGCGCAGCGCCACCACGCGCTGCTGCACGGCCATGCCATGGCGAGAGGCGCTCCTCCGGTGCCACTGCTAGGGCTGCCCACTGCTGCTGGGGGTGGTGGGGGCATGGGAGAGGGAGGTGAGGGGTTGGGAGGGGAGGAGGTTGGTAGGGTGGGTGTGATGGCAGGAGGCCATGGAGGGCAGGGAGGGAGAAGGGGTCAGCATGCAGGAGATGGGGGCGAGGGGGGCGAGAGTGGTCCCTGGCTGCACCACCAGCGGCTGCACTTGGGGGGGGGAATGGAGCAGCAGCAGGTGGGTGGGGGGATGGAGGGGCAGCATGCAGGGGCAGGGGGGAGTGCAGCAGATGAAATGCTGATGGGTGGGCGAAGCATGGATGCAGCCCAGCAGGGGATGGATGCGGCCCAGCATGTGAGGTGGCACGCGCATGTTGCAGCACAGAATAATGGCATGCACGGTGATGGCATGCACGGTGATGGCACGGCCATGGGAGTTGGGCACCACGAAGAGCAGCTGCAGGGCGTGGCGGCGGCTCAAGCACAACAAAGGACAGACGAAGTGGCTCAAGGGGTGCAGGCGACGCATCACAGCAGATACCATGTGCGGGAAGGGCGAGTGCCTGCAGTGCATGCGGAGAGGCTGCAGAGTAACAAGGTGCTTGGAGGGAAAACGGATGGTGGGAGGATGGAGGGTGGGAGGGTGAAGGGCGTGGCGGAGGCAATGGCGGAGGGTGGGATGGAAGGCGAGGCCGTCATCCGGCAAGGCGTGGAGCAGCACAGACCAGCGCTACACGAGCGACCGCTGAAGCAGCAGCATGGGGTGCATGGGCCTGGTGAGGTGGAGGTGGCATGGACAGATGGGGGGAGGACGGGGGGTGTGGGAGAGGCGACGGGTGACGATGCGGGTGAGGGTGAGGGTGAGGGTGAGGGTGAGGGTGAGGGTGAGGGTGGTGCAGGGCTTCAGATGGAGCGGCACAGGCCAAAGCTGCACAAGGGAGGGATGGGGCAGCAGCGAGGGGTGAACGGGCATAGTCGGGTGGAGGCTGCATCAAGGCAGCAAGGGGAGGCGGAGAGGAAGGGAGGGGAGCAGGTGTGGGAGGCAGCTAGCGTGGGAGAAGCGAATGTAGCAGGCGGAGGGCGTGAGAATGCAGGGAGTGGGGGAGGAGGGCGTGTGGGTGAGCAGGAGCACGTGAGTGTCCGTGGCGAGGCAGCACAGGAGCAGGTGACACCCTCAAAGGAGCAGGGCGCGGTGGTTGGTGGGGAGAGAGTGCAGGGCAGCGCGGATGGGCGGGGGAGTGGCGTTGGAGCCGGGCCTGATGGAGGCCGCAGCGACGCACGGATGGCAGCCCACCGTGCTGCATGGCACGCGCACAACACGGGGGTTGGAGAGAGGACAGCGAGGAGCAGCGAGCAGCAGGGGCAGGGGGAGGGGCAGTGGGAGGGGCAGGGGGAGGTGCAGTGGGAGGGGCAGGAGGAGGGGCAGCGGCAGGGGGAGGAGCAGTGGCAGGGGGAGGGGCAGCGGCAGGGGGAGGGGCAGCGGCAGGGGGAGGGGCAGCGGCAGGGGGAGGGGCAGTGGCAGGGGGAGGAGCAGTGGCAGGGGGAGGAGCAGTGGCAGGAGGAGGAGCAGTGGCAGGGGGAGGAGCAGTGGCAGGGGGAGGAGCAGTGGCAGGGGGGGGGGCTGCAGGCCGAACCGATGAACGAGGGACCTGAGGGAGGAGGAGGGAAGAAGGAGGCCGTGGAGCAGCAGCAGCAGGGGCGGGTGGACGGGCGTGTTGAGGTTGTGAGGCCACACCGTATGCCGCTCCACCAGCACCACCAGCCCCGCCACCACCACGGCGCCGCTCCACTCTCGTCCTTCCCCATGCCCCATGCGCCGCCCATCCCTGTGGCGCCCCTCAACCCCCTCGCACCATCGCTCCCTGCTGCTGCTGCCAGCGTTAGTGATGCGACCGGTGGCAGCAGGAGTGGGAGTGGAGCTGACAGCAGCAGCAGCGTGAGTGTGAGAGCAGCAGCAGCCGGTGGTGGTGCAGGGGCGAGTGGGGGGGGGGGGCGCGTGGACTGGCAGTCAGTGGAGACGGACAAGCAGGTGCTGCTCAACCTCAAGATGCACGTGCTCAGCGACCCCTCAGGTGGGATGCCATGTGTTGCCATGTGTTGCCATGTGTTGCCATGTGCACTGCACGATCCCGTGTGCTCAGTGGCCCATCAGGTGCGGTAGGAGTCCATGTGGTTCCATGTGGATCCATGTGGTGCCATTGTTAGAGATAGGCTGCAATTCGGTTGGCACAACTTTGTGTTGGCAATTTGTTGGTTTTAGGGATACGCATATTTGTTAGGTTGGGTGTAGCTATGTTTTCATCCCCAACCTATCCCAACCCAATCCATCCCAAATCCTCACGATTTGGGAGGATTCCCTTGGGATTACCTCCGATTCTCCCGTATCCCTTCCCATCCTCTCCGATGCTTGGTACTTAAGGATGTATGCTCTTGCTCATTATATCAATGAAGTTCTCAGTTTCTGATAGCCATGTGGTGCCATGTGGTTCCAAGTGGTGCCATGTGGTTCCAAGTGGTGCCATGTGGTGCCATGTGGTGCCATGTGGTGCCTTTTGGTGCCATGTGGTGCCATGTGCTCAGTGGCCCCTCTGGTCAAGGTTGAAAAAAACGGCAGGCCGTTTTTTTCGATGGTATAATACGATGATTTTCTGAAAAAGGACGTTTTTTCAATAGACAGTTTTGTGCGAATGCATGCTACTGGGTGCAAAAAACAAACCAGCCCGTTGCGAAACAGACGACAGTTTCGCAGCGGGTTTGGCGAACCGTCCAAAATGCGCGCCTCGGAAAAATGCTGAGGGCACGCTTCGGGAATGTGTTGACTGAACACATTTCTGCGGTTGGATGTTCACCCAACCGCAGAATTGTGCAACAAATTTGTTTGTTTTGCAAATTCCGTTACGTTTAGAAAGATAGGTCGTTTAAAACGACAGTTTTATTTCCACCCAATGAAAATGAAACATTCGGAATCGTTTTTTATCGTATTTAACGGCGGAAAAAAACGATATCGTATAATACGGCGGAAAATGGAAAAAAAACGACTTTTTTTAAAACCTTGCCTCTCTGGTACGATGGTATGTGCTCAGTGGCCCCTCTGGTCTGATGGCATGTGCTGCTCAGTGGCCCCTCTGGTACGATGGCATGTGCTCAGTGGCCCCTCTGGTATGATGGCATGTGCTCAGTGGCCCCTCTGGTATGATGGCATGTGCTCAGTGGCCCCTCTGGTATGATGGCATGTGCTCAGTGGCCCCTCTGGTACGATGGCATGTGCTCAGCGGCCCCTCTGGTATGATGGCATGTGCTCAGTGGCCCCTCTGGTATGATGGCATGTGCTCAGTGGCCCGTCTGGTATGATGGCATGTGCTCAGTGACCCCTCTGGTATGATGGATGTGCTCAGTGGCCCCTCTGGTATGATGGCATGTGCTCAGTGGCCCCTCTGGTATGATGGCACGTGCTCAGTGGCCCCTCTGGTATGATGGCATGTGCTCAGTGGCCCCTCTGGTATGATGGCATGTGCTCAGTGGCCCGTCTGGTATGATGGCATGTGCTCAGTGGCCCGTCTGGTATGATGGCATGTGCTCAGTGACCCCTCTGGTATGATGGATGTGCTCAGTGGCCCCTCTGGTATGATGGCATGTGCTCAGTGGCCCCTCTGGTATGATGGCACGTGCTCAGTGGCCCCTCTGGTACGATGGCATGTGCTCAGTGGCCCCTCTGGTATGATGGCATGTGCTCAGTGGCCCGTCTGGTATGATGGCATGTGCTCAGTGGCCCGTCTGGTATGATGGCATGTGCTCAGTGACCCCTCTGGTATGATGGATGTGCTCAGTGGCCCCTCTGGTATGATGGCATGTGCTCAGTGGCCCCTCTGGTATGATGGCACGTGCTCAGTGGCCCCTCTGGTACGATGGCATGTGCTCAGTGGCCCCTCTGGTATGATGGCATGTGCTCAGTGGCCCCTCTGGTATGATGGCATGTGCTCAGTGGCCCGTCTGGTATGATGGCATGTGCTCAGTGACCCCTCTGGTATGATGGATGTGCTCAGTGGCCCCTCTGGTATGATGGCATGTGCTCAGTGGCCCCTCTGGTATGATGGCATGTGCTCAGTGGCCCGTCTGGTATGATGGCATGTGCTCAGTGACCCCTCTGGTATGATGGATGTGCTCAGTGGCCCCTCTGGTATGATGGCATGTGCTCAGTGGCCCCTCTGGTATGATGGCACGTGCTCAGTGGCCCCTCTGGTACGATGGCATGTGCTCAGTGGCCCCTCTGGTATGATGGCATGTGCTCAGTGGCCCGTCTGGTATGATGGCATGTGCTCAGTGGCCCGTCTGGTATGATGGCATGTGCTCAGTGACCCCTCTGGTATGATGGATGTGCTCAGTGGCCCCTCTGGTATGATGGCATGTGCTCAGTGGCCCCTCTGGTATGATGGCACGTGCTCAGTGGCCCCTCTGGTACGATGGCATGTGCTCAGTGGCCCCTCTGGTATGATGGCATGTGCTCAGTGGCCCCTCTGGTATGATGGCATGTGCTCAGTGGCCCCTCTGGTATGATGGCATGTGCTCAGTGGCCCCTCTGGTATGATGGCATGTGCTCAGTGGCCCGTCTGGTATGATGCAATGTGCTCAGTGACCCCTCTGGTATGATGGATGTGCTCAGTGGCCCCTCTGGTATGATGGCATGTGCTCAGTGGCCCCTCTGGTATGATGGCACGTGCTCAGTGGCCCCTCTGGTACGATGGCATGTGCTCAGTGGCCCCTCTGGTATGATGGCATGTGCTCAGTGGCCCCTCTGGTATGATGGCATGTGCTCAGTGGCCCCTCTGGTATGATGGCATGTGCTCAGTGGCCCCTCTGGTATGATGGCATGTGCTCAGTGACCCTCACTCCCCCCTCTCCCTCTCTTCCTTTTCCATCCCCTCACTGAGTGACGCCCACTCCCTCCACGCCTTGCTACACTGTCCCGACACCCCTCCATCACACCCCTCATACCGCTCCATCACACACCTCTCACACCCCTCCCTTACACCTCTCACACCTCTCCCCAGGCACGATGGACAACTGGAACCCCAAGGACGCCACCCCCTGCTCGTGGACGGGCGTGGAGTGCAACCCCTTCTCGCAGCAGGTCAGAGCACCTGTCTCCTCCTCCTCTGGTCAAAGCCCAAAATCTTCTGCTTTTCCCATTTTCCCTCCTCCTCCGTCTTCCCTTCTCCTTCCCCCTGTTCCTCCCCTTCCTCTCCCACCCTCTCTCCCTGTCCTCCACATACTGTGGCACCAGTCCTCCACATAGCGTGGCACCTGTCCGCCCTCCCACTCCTAGACGACCCTCCTCTCCCCGCTTCCCTGTCCTCGCCACCACCCTCAGCTCCTCCCCACAACCCTCAGCTCCTCCCCACAACCCTCAGCTCCTCCCCACAACCCTCAGCTCCTCCCCACAACCCTCAGCTCCTCCCCACCACCCTCAGCTCCTCCCCACCACCCTCAGCTCCTCCCCACCACCCTCAGCTCCTCCCCACCACCCTCAGCTCCTCCCCACCACCCTCAGCTCCTCCCCATCCCCTTCCGCATTCCGTGGTGGCTTTACATCCTGCCCATCTGCCCTTCCACCACCCCCTCTCACTGCACTCACATCGCCGCAGCGCCTTCTTGTGCACACGCAAGCCTGGCTCTCCCCCTATCCCCTGCGCCCCCTCCCTTGCCCTCCAGGTGGTGGCGTTGGACCTCTCCGCCGCGTCTCTCCTGGGCGACCTGGCGTTCCAGGACCCCCCTCTGGGCGCGCTGACGTCCCTGCAGCGCCTGCAGCTGTCCGACAACCTCTTCATGGGGTCCATCCCCGACTCGCTCTCCAACATCCGCAGCTTACAAGTAAGTGTGTCCTTCAAGGGTTCTGCTTCAAGGGTAAGAGACTGACTCACAAGTCTGATCAGGGCTCACCTCGCTGCAACGCATGTAGCCGTCCGAGAACGGCTTCATGGGCTCTATACTATACCGGACTCGCTCTCCGCCATTCGCAGCTTGCAGGCGGGGCAGGTGGAACTATACCTGGCAGGTTGGATCATGCCTGGCAGGTTGGATCATGCCTGGCAGGTAGCATTGTGACTCACAGGTGTGTGACTCACAGGTGTGTGACCAGGGCTCACCTCGCCGCAGCCCCTGCAGCTGTCCGACAACCTCTTTATGGGGTCCGTACCTGACTCTCTTTCCAGCATCCGCAGCTTGCAGGTAGGTCTCCCCCTCCCGCTCTTCTTGTCAGCACGTTGGCGTCACAACACAACGCGGATGGCAGGCTGGCCGGGCTGTCTTCGCCAGCTTGCCGTCTCGGCCGCCATCCACCTCCGCTTCAGCCTCAACGCGCTCTCCGGCCCCGTGCCCCAGCTTGTCTCCGCCCAAAGCCCTCTCCTCCCTCACCCCCTCTCTCTCTCTGTGCCCCGCAGGTCCTGGAGCTGTCCAACAACCAGCTGGACGGCTTCATCCCGCCCACGCTCTTCGCCAGCCTGCCCTCGCTCGCCGCTGTCGACCTCAGCCACAACACGCTCTCAGGGCCCCTGCCCCAGGACGTGTCCGCCATGCAGTCGCTGCTGTCGCTGGACGTCAGTGGCAACCGCTTCGAGGGGCCGCTGCCAGATGACCTGTCGACGCTGCGGCAGCTGTCGCAGCTGGTGCTGGACGGCAACGCGGGACTCACAGGGCCCTTGAGCCCCGCCGTGCTGGGCTCGCTGCCCTCCCTTCAGGTGCGCGTGTGAGTGTGTGCATCCCACCAGGTGTGTGCATCCGACCACGAATGGATAGGTTGCTTTAGTGAGCTCGGGTAGTACATAGGTTGAGAGGTGAGTGGGGTCAAAGGGAGTTGCTGGGCTGCTCGTTGGTGTGACCAGTGTTGCCCAAGTGCCAAAACCTTCACCACAAAACTGTTTGGGGTCAGAGGGTTGGCTGGGGTTGGTTGACGGAGCCCAATCCAACTCTAGAGCATTCATCCGAGAGTACTGTCTACAGTGTAGTCTTGAGCAAGCTATACTCCAGCGGTGTGCTCATGCTTGTGCTCCACTCTTGGTCCCCCCCTTGCCCTCGCATCACCACCATCTGTTATTCATTCCCATCACCCCTCCCCCTACCCCTCCCCCTACCCTTAACCCCTCCCCTTCCCCTTCCCCTTCCCCCCTTTTTCCCCCCCACCACACCAGGTTCTCTCAGCACGGGGCTGCAGCTTCAACGGCTTTCTGCCGCCTGCTCTTGGCTACGCCCCCCGCCTGCAAAAGCTGGATCTGGGCGGCAACCAGCTGGGGGGCGGCATCCCGCCCACGTGGGGGCAGTTGGGCAGCCTGACGTCGCTGACCATGGAGGGCAACCAGCTGTCAGAGAGCATTCCTAGCGCACTCGATGGGCTCACTGCCCTGCAGGTATGGCTCGATGGGCTCACTGCCCTGCAGGTATGGCTCGATGGGCTCACTGCCCTGCAGGTATGGCTCGATGGGCTCACTGCCCTGCAGGTATGGCTCGATGGGCTCATTGCCCTGCAGGTATGGCTCGATGGGCTCACTGCCCTGCTGGTATGGCTCGATGGGCTCACTGCCCTGCAGGTATGGCTCGATGGGCTCACTGCCCTGCAGGTATGGCTCGATGGGCTCACTGCCCTGCAGGTATCTCCCTTTCTCCCTTTCTGCAGGTATCTCCGTTTCTCCTTTTCTCGCCCGAGCATGCTGCTGCTCGTTTAGGTGGCTCCCAGCAGCACCATCCCGCCGCTAACCTCTCTTATTCCCCTCTCTCCTCTCACCCTTCCCCTTCTCCTCTTCCCCCCACCCCACTCCCGTGCGGGATGCAGAGGCTGGACCTGAGCAGCAACGCCATCAGCGGCACCATCCCCGCGCTCAACGGCCTCACCGCGCTCTCCGCGCTCAACCTCTCCTCCAACCAGCTCACAGGGCCCATCCCCACCGACGGCGTCTTGGGAAGCTTCCCGTCGTCTTCCTTTGCCGGCAACCCCGGTCTTTGCACTGGGGTCTGCGCCTCGCCCCCTGCTACCCGCCCTCCCCCCACCATTGCCCCGCCTGTTCTCCCCCCACCAACGCTGTTCCCCCTGCCCGTTCCCATGGCTCCTCTCCCCCCTCTCTCCCCCCCGCCTCCCCCCTACGTTGAGCCGCCCCCCTACAGTCCTCCAACTCCTCCCCCTGCAATCCCTCCCTCACCAGCTCCTCGGCCTCCTCCCCTCTCCCCCCGACCTCCTCCCCTCTCTCCCCGACCTCCTCCCATCTCCCCCCGACCTCCCCCTGTTTCTCCCCAACCTCCCCCCCGTTCTCCCCCACTCCCCCCTTCCCTGCGCCCTCCGCCCACCCCTCCCAAACCCCCCGCCCTAAGACCCCCTCCAGTGCCCCCCACGCTCCCTCCGCTCCCACCCCCTCGCTCCCCCAATCCGCCTCCTCCCTTCCTTAGACCGCCCACACCACCCCGATCACCACCTCCTGTTCCCCCTCCCCTCCCCCCTCTTGCCCCTCCTCTCCCTCCTCTCCCACCTCCTCGCCCCCCTCCTCTCCCCCTCCTCTCCCCCTCCTCTTCCCCCTCCTCTCCCACCGCCCCTCCCGCCTCCTCTTCCCCCTCCCTTGCCTCCCCCTTCCCCCCCACCTCTCCCCCCTCCAAAACCCCCAAGTCCCCCTCCCCGGCCTCCCCCCTCCCCTCCCCCCAACCCTCCTCCCCCACACCCACCACCACCTCAACCCCCACCATCCCCTCCCCCTGTCCCCCCTCCTTCCCCTCCCCCATCCCCTCCCCCACCATCCCCCCCATCACCCCCTCCCCCATCTCCACCCCCCCCTCCTCCTTCCTCTCCTCCCCCTCCGTCCCCTCCTCCCCCTCCTTCCCCTCCCCCTTCTCCCCCCTCTCCACCTTCCCCGCCTCCTCCTCCCCCATCCCCCCCCTCGCCCCCCTCACTGTACGCGCCTCCCCAGCTCCTGAAACGTCTGGTGCTGCCGTCCAACAGCACCAAGCCCATGGCGGTGAGCGCCATCTTCGCCTTCTCCCTCTCGGCCGTGCTGGGCGCGGTGCTCATCGCCGTCTGCTTCACCATCAACCAGCCCTACTCCTCCCACCCGCCCTCGCAAGCGTGGGCAGCAGCAACGGGAGGAGCAGGGGGAGGAGCAGGGGGAGGGGGAGGCGGAGGGGTGCTTGGGGGATTCTTAGGGGGGGTTGGAATGGGGGGTGGAGGGGAGGGGGGGGGGCGAAGATGGGGATACTGGGGGCAGCTGGAGGGGCGATGGCAGGGGCAGCAGCGGGGATGGCGGGCAGGCACTCTTCTTCGTCTCAGCAGCTCGTCACCATGTTCAACGGCCAATCAATGCACGTGGATGAGCTCCGGTCAGCCACGGAAAATTTCGGGCCTGGGCAGATGATGGTGGGGGGAGCGGGGCCCAGCGGAGCAGTGTCGTTCCTGGCAGAGATGGCGGACGGGGCGTCCGTGTATGTGGCAAAGCAGCTGCCCCCTCTGCCTGGAGGGGAGGCCTGCAACTTCGTGTTCGAGGTGAGGTGATGGGAGGGGAAAGAAGGGCATGGGAGGAAAGAAGGGCATGGGAGGAAAGAAGGGCATGGGAGGAAAGAAGGGCATGGGAGGAAAGAAGGGCATGGGAGGAAAGAAGGGTATGGGAGGAAAGAAGGGCATGGGAGGAAAGAAGGGCATGGGAGGAAAGAAGGGCATGGGAGGAAAGAAGGTCATGGGAGGGAACAGTGGGACGGGCCGTCCGTATATCCGGCCAAGCAGGTTTCCGGGGGGGAGTGGAGCTGCGTTATCTGTCATGATTCAATCCCATCGGTCATCCGTCATGATTCAATCCCATCCGTCATCCGTCATGATTCAATCACATCCGTCATCCGTCTTGATTCAATCACATCCGTCATGATTCAATCCCATCCGTCATGATTCAATCCCATCCGTCATCCGTCATGATTCAATCCCATCCGTCATCCGTCATGATTCAATCACATCCGTCATCCGTCATGATTCAATCCCATCCGCCATCCGTCATCCCGCTGAATCACACGGGTTTACGTCCTCACGTGACTCCATTGTTCCCCCCATCTCCCCATCCCCTCACCCATGTTTGCAGAGTGAGGCTCGGGTGCTGGCATCGGTGCGGCACGACAGCATTCTGCCGGTGATAGGGTGCTGGGAGAGTAGGGCAGGGGAGGGCATGCGCGTGCTGCTGTACGAGTACATGCCCAACGGCGACCTCAGGGAGTTCCTCTACGACGAGGTGCGTGTGGTAACAGTCGTCAAGTCACTGTGAACGCTTCGTTTACGCCCCTCAAGCACAAGAGGGCAGGGGAGGGCATGCGGGTCCTGCTGTGCAAGAACATGCCCCATAGGGACCTCAGAATTTTTTTACAGGACGAGGTGCGTGTGGGTGCTGCTTCTGGGAGCCTAAAGGATCAAGAGCATGCATGCCCAACGGGGACCTGTGGGAGTTGCTGTACGACGAGGCGAGTATGGAGAACGTTCCTCGGCCATGAGGTCCGTGTGGGCGCTTTGTTTGACCTCCCTCAGGCGTGCACTGAACAGAGGAGGGCATGAGGGCGCTGCCGCACGAGTGCATGCCCAATGATGACCTGCAGGCGCTCCTGCATGGCGAGGTCAGTCCAAGCTCGGTTCCATCAAGCGCTGCACGCTCCTGCCACTCACTCGAGGGCATGCGGGTGCAGCACGAGTGCATGCGCACTGTGACCTCACAGTGTGTCTCTATAATGCGGTTTGTATGAGGGCTACAGAACAAGAGCACGAAGGGAGCGTGGATTGGTGGGGGGAGGAGGGCGGAAGGAGAGGTGTGAGGGTGCAGCGGGTTGAGAGCATGGCCAATGGGGGCCTGCGGGAGTTGGTGCAGGACGAGTGCGGATGACATTTCGAGGAGCCTCAGATGTCAGCGGGCGAGGGGATGGCCGCCAGAGGGTGCAGCGGTTTGAGTGCACACCCAATGGCCACCTGCGGGAAGTCCTCTGCGACGAGGTGGGGGGTGCCACTTCATAGTCTGCCACTCGCAGCCACCAGTCACTGGCAGCTTAGCTTGGCCCGTCTTGGCCACACGGCTGTCCCGCCTTTCTCACCCGTCATTCCCTCTCGTCTCGCTCTCTCCCTCCCCTGCCTGCAGCTCGCATCTCGCAAGTCCCTCCCTGGCCCACTTGATTCTCTGCATGCTAACTCTTCCTCGCCCCCCCTCCCTCCCCTGCCTGAAGCTCGCATCTCGCAAGACCCTTCAGTGGCCCGTGCGCTTCCGAGTGGCCATGGAAGGAAGGGCCTCGCCTTCTGCACGGGGGAGGGGGGGGGCAGTGGGGCAATGGGCAGCATTGCAGGTCCCATGGCCCGCGGTGCAGTGCAGCCCAGCAACGTCCTGCTGCATGGGCGCATGGAGCCCCACCGCGCCGACACAGGCGGCTTGCTCTTACCTGGGTCCCCCACACGTGTCCCACCTTTCCCACTCATCCTTCCCTCTCTTCTTGCTTCCTCTCCTTCTGCCTGCAGCTCGCGTCTCGCAAGTCCCTGCAGTGGCCCGTGCGCTTCCGAGTGGCCATGGGGGTGGCTAGAGGGCTCTCCTTCCTGCACGGGGGAGCGGGGGGTGTGGGAGGAGTAGCAGGGCCCATGGCGCACGGCGCCGTGCACCCGGGCAACGTGCTGCTGGATGGGCGCATGGAGCCCCGCCTGGCGGACATGGGTGTGGCGCGGATCGCCTTTGACACAGATGATGTGCAAGTGGCCGATGAGATCATGGGGTACACGCCGCCCGGTATGTCAATAACTGTCTTCCTGTGATAGGGAATGGGATCATTCCCGTATTCCTTTGGCCTTGTATGGTTCTCGACGTTTCTCCTTTCCAATTCCTCATTGCACCTCCTGGATTACGTGTCTCAGTCTCGGTATTCTCTCCCACTTCCCACCTACGTACGTAGCTGCTGAAGCTGCTAGCAGCAAAACTCCGTCACTGCTTGAATGTCCCTTTCTTGCTGCCCCTCCCCCTCCCTCCCCCTCTCCAGAGTATTCAGCGGGCCCCACCCCGCCAACCCCAGCGGGCGACGTGTACAGCTTCGGCGTGGTCCTCCTGGAGCTGCTGACAGCGCGCCCGCCGGTGGACCCCGCCTTCACGGACAACGGCACGGGCGACCTGATCGGGTGGGTGCGCGCGACCATGCAGGCGGGGCAGCCGGGCGAGGCGCTGGACCCGCGCATGGCGGACGTGGCGGAGAGCGGCGACGAGATGCTGCAGTTCCTCAAGGTGGCGCTCGTGTGTGTGGCTGAGGATGCGGACGAGCGGCCGGGCATGCGGGAGGTGGTGGAGATGATGGTGCGGGCCAGGGAGACAGCGGCCAAGATCAGAGAGAACCCGCAGATCAGGGACCTGCTGGAGTGAAAATGGGATGATTGGGAGCAATGATTGATTTCTTGGCTCTGCTAAAGCGTTTGTTCTCCATGAGGTACTGCCTCGCTTATGGCCTACCTTGACCCATCACTGGCGCGTTGCTGGGACCTGGACTCTGGTCCTGGAGTGTTGTGCTGGCCACTTGATTGTTAAAATTATATAAGTTATAATTTAATATAGGCTTGGTAGGTTGTTACTGAACCTTTCTGTAGGGGGTACAAACCCCTCCTTGTACTCCCCTCTCTTCCTAATCCAACTCCCTTTCTTCTCGACATCCTCTCACCTCCTAGATCCGTTTTTCCTCACGCCATTCCATGGCGGTCTTCTTCCTAGTATCCTAGCCAACCTAGCCTCCTAAGTTTAAGAACCTTTAGTCCCAAGTTTCTAAGATGGTATCAGAGCAGGAGATCCTCCCTGTTGGATCGCCTCCTCACGCTTCCGCAATTTACTCCTCGCTCTCATTAGCTCGAGCGGCCATGGCGGCCGCGTTTTGCTGCAGTGGCGACGTCGCGCTGCCACTGGCCGCGTCGTGCCGCGACCGGCTCGACGCGCTGCCGTGGCGTCGGGCCGTCGTTCTGCAGTCGCAGCGTCGACGTCCCGCTGTGGCATCGACGCTGCCTCTGCCGTCGCGACGTCGACGTCCTGCTGCAGCGTCGACGGCGCCGTCGGGCCGCAGCCGGTTGCGTCGACGCTTTGCCGTGGCAGCGTCACCTTGCTGCCGTTGCAGCGTCGGCGTGCCGCCACAGCGTCGACGCCGCGCCCTGGCGGCGTCGTCATGCTGCCGCGGCAGCGTGGATGGGCGGCAGCGGGCAGCACGCCGTCATAACCGCCACCTGCCCGCCCTCCTGCCAGTAAGCGCCGCGCCACTTATGGCGCGTCGCTGAAGACTCGCCTCGCCCCGCCCCCTCCCCTCCCCCCCCCACCTGCACCTGCTTCCCCTGCATCCCCCCCTTTCTTGCTGCAGCCGATGACTGCCATGTGAGGGACCTCTCCACCGCCGAGGAGACAGGACATGCCGCCGAGAGGGCGGGGGCCGCCGCACCAGCCTCTGTCGTTCGAGCCGCCGGCGCCGCCGCTGTTGCCGCAGGCCTGGAGCCGCCGCACACCGCCGCCGCCGCCGCCGTCGTCACTGTCGCTGCTGCCGCCATTGCCGTCTCAAGGGGCCGTGAGACCTACCCTCTTCCGGAGTCGTTGCGGCTCCTGCTGGGAATGGGGGTGCTGGGCTAGGGGGTGTGGGTGTGGGTGTGGGTGTGGGGGTGTGCGTGGGCTTGACACTACCAAGCCTAGGGGGTGTGTTAAAATTATATAAGTTATAATTTAATATAGGCTTGGTAGGTTGTTACTGAACCTTTCTGTAGGGGGTACAAACCCCTCCTTGTACTCCCCTCTCTTCCTAATCCAACTCCCTTTCTTCTCGACATCCTCTCACCTCCTAGATCCGTTTTTCCTCACGCCATTCCATGGCGGTCTTCTTCCTAGTATCCTAGCCAACCTAGCCTCCTAAGTTTAAGAACCTTTAGTCCCAAGTTTCTAAGATTGATCCCCGAGGCCACGCCCTGAATTCATGTTGCGCCTCAAGCACTCTCGGAAGGAGCATTAATGCAAGGCCCACATCACATGTATGATGTATTCCAGCTAAGCACGTGCATATCAATGACATGGTACGGAGTTGTTCCTTACAGAAATGAAGTTTTTAGCAACTCAAATTTCTCGAAGAACATTCTACAGTGCGCAACTAGCATACCAGCTACAGTATGCAACTAGCATACCAACTACAGTGCGCAAAACTAAGGAATGCAGACACACCACTTGGGGAGCATCAGCGACGTGATGCCGACCACACTGCTGCTCGTCACCACAATCCTTTGATTGTCAACAATCCCGCAGCACTCAAAGTCCTTGGCTTCCACATCCCAAGCGAGTGACCCGCCTAACACACGGTATCGATCCAGTGTCATACGATGTGGGGCATGCGATGTGGGCCATGTGATGTGGGGCATGTGATGTGGGCCATGTGATGTGGGGCATGTGATGTGGGCCATGTGATGTGGCGCATGTGATGTGGGCCATGTGATGTGGGGCATGCGATGTGGGGCATGTGATGTGGGGCATGTGATGTGGGGCATGTGATGTGGGGCATGTGATGTGGGGCATGTGATGTGGGGCATGCGATGTGGGGCATGTGATGTGGGGCATGTGATGTGGGGCATGTGATGTGGGGCATGTGATGTGGGGCATGTGATGTGGGGCATGTGATGTGGGCCATGCGATGTGGGGCATGTGATGTGGGGCATGTGATGTGGGGCATGTGATGTGGGGCATGTGATGTGGGGCATGTGATGTGGGGCATGTGATGTGGGCCATGTGATGTGGGGCATGTGATGTGGGGCATGTGATGTGGGGCAATGGCATGCGATGTGGAGCATACGAGTCATGAGAGCCCCGTAGGGGCTATCAGTGGCGTTGAGCCATCATCGGAGAGAGTTGTCCGTGCAGCCTGCAGGGAGGGAGGAGGGGAGATGAGAGGAGGGAGAGGGGAGGAGGGAGAGGAGAGGAGGGAGAGGAGAGGAGGGAGAGGGCAGATGAAAAACACGTGCAGGGTGAGGGAATAATGATGGAATGCAGGCAGTGCGTGTGTGTGGGGCAGGCAGTGTGTGTGTGGGAGGAAAGCAGCTGACATGCTAGACAGTGAAAGCGTACGGGTGGGCAGCACGGGAGCAAATGTGTGGGGGGAGGGAGATGGCGACCAGCTAAATGGCCTCCCCACCGGCGCTTGCTGGGCTGACTTGAGTGCTGCGATGACCGCCTTGTCCCCATGAGCAGTGGCGCACTCACGAGTGGGGAGGACAGGAGCGACCGAATGGGCGGAGATGCCGAGCAGGTGGATGGCCTCGTCCACCAGGCCGTGCTGGGCCGAGCGGAACACCCGCAGCACCTTCTCTGTCAGCGCCCCCCGCTGCAGCACCCGCTGATGGGGGGGGGAGGGGGAGAGAGAACAAGGAAGGGGGAGGGATGTTGAGGGAAGTAGGGGAAAATCGCGAGAGGGGAAAAAGGAGGGGGGAGGAAAACCGCCCATGGGAGAGGGACGAGGGTGAAGTAGCATCATGCATGCTAGGGGGAGCACCGCCCATCTCGCAACACCAGAACCCACCCACACCAGCAGAACCCACACAAACAAAGCCATGGGCACCCGAATATCAGCAGCACTTACCCAGAGCAGCAGCAGCACAATGTCTTCAGGCACCCCTCGCAGCGAGGACACATGGTCGATGTGCGCCACTATTGAGTCAGTGCATAGCGAGAACAGTCTGGGAGGGGAGGAGGACGATGATGACGATGACGATGGTGGGCGAGAAGAGGAGGAACCAGGGGCCGGCTGCCAGGCTCGTTCGGACTCTCGCGCCACTGCTGGCGATGACGCCACGGGCTCAGCGCCTGATGCCGGCAATGGGCCCCCAGTGCTTATCACTCGCTCCTCGATTGAGTCACCTCTGCTTAGAATCACACTGAATCCGCCTTGTCTCGCTCTCTGCCCTCCCCACCTTCCCCATCCTGCTCCTCTCGCTGACCCCCCGCTCCCCCACCCCCTCTCGCCTCCCCTCCGCGCGCAGGGCAGCTCCGCCGCTTCCACCAGCGACCCCCACGGCGTCACTATCGCTGTTCGCTTCGTGCCGTCCCGCCCCCTGCTTCCGCTACCTCTGCTCCCGCCTCTGCGCGCGCTGCTGTTTCCTCCGCCCCAGCCGTCGCTCATCCTGCCGTCGCTCATCCTGCAGTCGTCTCCCCGCGCGTGCCCGCTACTGCTACTGCTGCTGCTCCTGCCGCTACCTGCCGGGGCGGTAGCGCTACCCGCCGCTCGTTCCTCCCACGACGGTGCCGCGCTGCCCTCTCCCTCGTCACCGCGCCCCTCGCGCTCTGCAGCCGCCGCACTTGCATTCGGGTGTATCGAATCTCCGGCATCCAGCAGAGCAATCTCTTGCACCAGAAGCGCCAAGGATGGCTCCGACGTGGACGACAACGCTGACGTTAACGTTGGCGTCGACGCTGACGTTAACGTTGACGTGGACGACGACGGAAAGCCGTAGCCCCTGGGCTCTTTTTCGGGACGAAACTCCTCACCCAAGCTCCCAGCACTGGCGAATTCCTCAGCGCCCACTGATCCAACGCCAGCCCTCCCCCCTCGCTCCTTACCGCACACTAACCTCACGTGAGCCCCCGCCATCTCCCCACTTGTCTCCGCCGCGACGGTCCCCGCCGACTGTCCGCCGGAAGGTCCGCTGCGCGACGCTGTCGCTGCCGGGAGGTCTGCTGGCGCTGGCGAGTCAGCCACGCGAGGAGCCATCTCAGGGCATGTCACCAAAGTACGCTTTCGCAAAATACACTACTCAACCGTTCTGTATTTTTACTAGACTGCTCCTGAACGCGGAATATCTTATCGAACCGCAATCGGACGCACTTTGGTGATACACCCTCAGGGTACTGATATCGTAGTAATAAGATCAACAGAGAACCCTAATTACCTAACTACTGGAGAGTCGGGTCGCGTAGTTGATGATGGCATGGATGGATGCAGGGTAATGTTAGGCGAAGGATCAGGGCGTATTTACCTGAAGGGGATTGCAGCCTCACAGCCGACCCCAGGCGAGTTAGCAACCGCGGCCTTGCCGAGCGACGGTCTCACAATCTGCTCTTAGCATCGTAATTGGGCAAAACTTCGCCTGGTGCAGTGAAAGTGCTCCAGAGGAACATACGATATTCAGATTCGACCCTCAACGGGAAAGTGCTACAGGCACGTCCCAAGGTTCACTTTCTGTTTTGGACCATGGTTTGAATACGATACTGTGCAGATTGGAATGGTTCTCTCACTTCGTTTTCAAATCTAACTCACCACCCTGAACCTTCAAGCCTGAACTGGAAACGAGACGCGCCATAAAAGTTTGGGGAGTAGAGTTTGAGGGTCGAACATTCAGGGTCGGCCCAACACGCCCCACTCTCACCACTTGTCGTGGGGGAGCATCATCTCTTGTGCACCTGGAGGCATATCATAGCATACTCCTGTGAGGGCTGATTCTGCAGCGAGTGTAAGACCCGAGGGTTTAGCGGGATCCGAGGCTGGAAATTGTTTGCCTCGGGTCTTGCGAAAAACTGACGGCTCCAGCCAGTCAGCTGTCAAGCCGAACAACTAACAATGTCGCGCAAGTGAACTTTCACCAATCATTAATTCGAAAATTTCTGGTGGACTCGCAAAGTTCGGTTATATGGTCGTAACCCTCCCCTTGCGACAGTTCACGACTATGCAGCCGCTGCACCGTCAAGAAAATTAAACCCGCAGTTAGGTTGTGACAGCCTGCGGCTCCTTCGGCCGCGGGTCGACCTCGGGTCTGACACTCGCTGCGGAATCACCCTGAGTCCATCTACTAGATACACCACATAACATCATCACCTACATCGTCCCAAACTCGAGAGCAGAAATACGGAGCACATACATTCCGTCCTTCTGGGTTCGCGCACGGCGCTATGGCCCAAAGAACGGCCCGCCTAGCGTGCAAGCGCCGTTGAGCCGCAGTACAGCCGCCGGATACACTCAAAGCCGCGCATGCCTGCAGTCCATTCTAGGCGTCGCACACCTCCTCTGCGACATTTCTTTCCACCTCGCGAATGGAATCGGGTGCAGTCGATCACGCGACCGTGCGATCCGTGAAGACGAAACGAGTCGCCGCACAGCACGGTCCGTCGCACGCTCCGTCGTCGCGCATTGCCGGAGCATCGTCGCCTCGAGGCGGCGATCGCCATGCGACTCTCTGGAGCACCTTGGACTGCTGGGGCTCACGGGAGCCGGGCTCCCCCCGTTATAAGCGCCCTCGTGCACTCACATTCACGCTAATAACTCTGTTTCTATCCGCCTTTGTTCTTCTCGTCGTACGATGGCCGCTCGAGGAGTCCTTTCTGCACTCTTATCTCGGAACTGGGAGGGCTAGTAACGCCGATGGAGCTCGAGTCGAGTGCATCCCTGGCAATGCAGGCGAGGGCGGCAGCGACCGCGTGTTCGCCAAGAGAGAGGAGGATCGAGCGGTGCCCAGGCAGCAGCTAGAGCAACAAGAGTCGGAAAAAACCGCGGGAATAGAGCAGCAAGAGCAGCAGGAGAAGCGGGAGACGCAAGAGCAGCAGCAGCAGGCAGGGCAGCAGGGCGGAGTGCCAGGCCAGCACGTGCAGCTGAGAGTGGGCCCCGACGAGCAGCACGACAGCGGCGTGCCCTCACAGCCGTTCGTGTACATATACGACCTGGGCCCACAGCTGACGGCCAAGGTGCTCAAGCTGCCGCTCGAGTGGTACTCGGAGCAGTACGACCTGGAGAAGCACTTAACGGAGATGCTTATGAAGAGGACGGACAACCCCGTGCGCACCATGGACCCCGAGCAGGCGTCGCTGTTCTTCGTGCCGTTCTACGTGTCGCGGTACCTCTTCTCCTTCTTCCACAACGACCAGAAGAACATGCGCCAGTGCATCCAAAAGAGCTCGCTGGTGAGGCGCCACGCGTGGCAGCGCACGCTTGTATTCATGTGTGAGAGCAGAGCGGTCGTATGGACCAGAGTAACACGCACGAGTGCATCGAGAGTGGCTCGTTGGTGAGTCGCATGCATAGTATACAAAACAACCTCATGCAAGCTTATACAGATGATGCTGAGTATACAGACGGTTCACACACCAGAAGAACATGCGAGAATGCCTCGACACGAGCTTGAGGAGGTTGAGTTAAGGGAATTGTGGAAGCAGCCTAATGTTGTCGTTTCAAAGAAACCTTGTGGAGTGCATTGGAAATTCCACGTGGGTAAGGTGAGTGTCGCAGCACAAGGAGAGCAGACCTGAGATGAGAGCACGTGCAAATGAGGTTCCGCTAGCACCTCCCTTTGCTCCATACCCTGTCCTTCTCTTACCCAGCGTGCTTTCCCCCTCAACCGACTTTCACGTCCCCAGCAAGCAGCCTCTTCGCCTCCTTATCCCCCATCACGCGTGGGCGAGGGTCCGTGACGCTGTGCGCACACCACGTTCCCACACAAGTCCTGTGCTTCAACCACGCCAATGCATGCCCGTCCGGCCCTCACCACTCATCCCTTCCCTCCTGCCAACCCAGCCATGCCCTCACCTCACCTATCATCCTCCCATCCCCCCCCACCCCCCATCAGGCGTGGACGAGAGTCCTGGAAGCTGTGCGCACCAAGTTCCCCTACTTCAACCGCACCAACGGCCGAGACCACTTCAGCATCCTGACGCTCGATCACGGCCGATGCCACTCGCTGACCTTCGTGGATCCGCGGCTGGTGGGCGAGATGTTCTTCATCTCTTATAACGGGGACAAGCTCGTGCGCAGCAACCACGCTGGCACAGACATCGACATGCAGGTACGTGGAGGAATGCGACAGCCTGCATGGAAGTGCTTTAGGGATGGTCCTTTGTGGGCCCAATGTTCCTCCCTCCTCCCTGCCTTCCTTTGCCTCTCCCCCTTTTCTCTTTCCTGGATCCCCACGCCCCTTGCTGCATGTGCGTCCGAGAGGCTGTAGAGCCACAAGTAGTGCCTCTCCCCGCAGCTCCTCTCCTACCAGTACGGGAGCCCAGTGGACCCCTCCATCTCCTATGTCGCACGCTGCAAGCAGGATCGAGACATAGTTGTGCCTGTTCTGGTGCTGCTACGTGGTGACGCTGCTGGTGGTGCTGCCGGTGGCGCTGCTGGTGGCGCTGCTGGTGGCGCTGCTGGTAGGCTTGAGCAGAGGGCCGGACCTGGGGACGGGCCAGCCCGCCCAGCCCGTCGAGGACGCCAGGGCAACGGACGGGCCGAGGACGGGCCTCCGAGCCGAGAGGCCTGTTTTCGGGCCTGCAGGTGGCCCGTTGGCAGGCAGCGCGGCTTGGGGTGGGGGAGTCAAATCGGTGGACGTAAACGTGGAGTGATTTGACCTCATTATCCATTTCGCCCACTTCAAAGTTTGTTGCAAGCCCATCCCGCCCCTCCTTTCCCAACAAGCACCTATTTATCTGCATGCAATTTCGTGGATGTGACCCTGGGGGTGGGGGGGGAAAGGCCTTGGGGGCCGGATCATAGGGATCAAGGAGTGGGTGAGGAGTGTGGAGCATCACGTGGTAGGTGGGGTGCAGTTTGATGTCGGATGGTTACACTGGGTGGTGACTGTGTGGGGGCGTGTCTAGAGGGGGGGATGGCCCAAAGGCAGTATTAGAGGGTCCTAGGGTAGGGTAGGGTACGAGGATGTGGGACCAGACCGAAACCCCATAAAAATGGTATGGATTTTCTGTGGGGGAGAAACCGGGCCGGGGCAGGCCCGGCCCGCCACGGGCCTGGCCGGCCCGCGGACGGGCCTTCCCTGGCCGTCCACCACAAACGGGCCTCGGGCCGGGGGTGGGACCGGCCCGGGCCCGGCCCTCTGGTAAAGCCTAGCTGCTGGTGGCTCCAGATCAGGTGTGGGGTGTGTTGTAATGCCTCCTCATCCCCCCCCCACTCCCCCCCTCCCTCACAACCCCCACATACCCCTTGCAGCTCCTCTCCTACCAGTACGGGGGCCCAGTGGACCCCTCCATCCCCGACATCGCGTGCTACATGCCGGACCGGGACATAGTGGTGCCCGTAGTGGTGCGCGACCAGGTGCCCTTTGTGTCGCCCTTCGCGTGGCCGCGCAAGTGGACTGCCATCTTCCGATTCGTGGCCTCGCCGCACAAGCAAGTGCTGCTGAGCATACGAAAGGCCATCATACAGGTGAGGCAAGGGGCCTTGTAGTGCCTCTGGTGGTACCCGCGGTGTCATCACTCATGGTCTTGGGAGGAGCAGCAGTGCAAAGTTAGTCGCTTGAGCAGAAAGAACAAGAGTAACAAATCCTAGGCAAGAGATTTGCTCGAAAAAACCCTTCACTCAAAATTACCAGGTCGCAAACATGTTCGGCTTACGGGGATCAAACCTGCTGAGTCTTCATCAGTGCTACTGGACATAAGAGATCACAGGCCTAGGCATGAGCTAAGTAACAACCCACACCCTTGAAAACCATTCTCAAGATTATCAACTACCCAGATTGCCTATCAATGGGCATTCGCCAATACAGCAGTGGGTAAAAACCCGAGGTTGCAGGTGTCAGCCTTCAGGAGGGTCTTCTTCCGAACCGTCGATAAGCGTTGGTAACTTGGCTCGCACAAGTAACTTTTGAAGGTTACGTGCACACCTCCATGCAATGAAAATATTCCCCATATAAAATCCGCGTGAAATGAGACGATTTTTTAGGCGCGTAAAAAATCATCATACAGGTGAGGCGAGGGGCCTTGTAGTGCCTCTGGTCGTACCCGCGGTGTGGTGGTAGTAAGGCAGCGGCTGCCCTTGGTCTCCCCGTTCACCTGGCCCGCAAGTGGACAGCTATTTTCTGGTTCGTGGTATCGCCCCACAAGCATGTATTGCTGAGCATACGGAAGAGCATTGCACAGGTGAGAGGGGTAGGACGCCCCAGAAGATGGAGGACGTCTTAGCCATGCAGAACACATGCTCTTAACTATATCTGAAACGCATGCAATGCCAGCCAAGAACATGCCAAACACCCAAGCTGTTACATGCCAAGCCAAGGACACATGCCTGCACGTTTGAAGCCCTGGCCGCACAGCACAGGTTCAGGGACTGGTGACTTGAGGGTCGTCTAGGGGGTGGAAAGAGGGCAGAGGATGACATGCAAGCATCACCAGGACTGGGCCTTCTTAGAAGGCGCCTCAAAGTTGTTTGTGTCATTTTCTCCATAGTATCACCTTTGTAACTTTTAGGCACCCTAAATGCTGGCTGAAAATCCACTGCATCATCATGTGCATCATGTCTTCTTCCCCCCCCCTGTGCAGGTAGCCAAGAACGACATGGCCCCTTTGCAGGATATGTCTTCAAAGAATTAATAGAGGTGTGTCGAGGCACCTTCTGGCCATGCTTTTCCCCCCATCACCTTGCCTGTGCACCTTCTGTCCTCTGCATGTGCATCTCTGCTCGCAGGTGGCCAAGAACGACATGGCCCCGGGGTGGGACATGTTTCCCAAGAGTGAGGAGAGGACGGACGGAGACTGGCAGCACAGCGTCTTCTGCATCTGCCCCCCCGGCCACTCCCAGTGGACCAGCCGCCCCTTCAAGGTACTCTCACTCCCAGTGGCCCAACCGCAGGTTGAAGCACCTCCAAGCTCATCTTTTCCGAGCACCAGGAGCGGTAAGCTAGAAACCACGACCGCTCGTTTGGCCGACTAGAATGAGCTCCATTAGAGCCTCTATCCGTCCTCTTGCTCCCATCATGGCCGCAAGCGATTTCCGTGAGGGCGACGCGGCCGAGCAGCTAGCGCGGGCTCTGTTTCCCACGTTGGAAGCACGCAGGGAGTGGGACGGGCGCATCGCAAGCTTGGAGAGCTTTGAACGCATCTTTGAAGGCAATAGGCGCTCCACTCTAAAAGAGAACAAGAAATGGGGTTCACTTCACAGGGAAGGCAGAGGAACTTTGGTCGGTCGCAAGCAAGAGTAGAGGGAATGAAGGTGAACTCACAAAAAGGGGAAGGCGGGGGGGATAGAGAGAAAGGGAGAAAGGGTGTACAGGGGAGGTTGCAAGGTTGGAGAGTGGTATAAGCCACTTTGAAGACGGTAGGCGCCCGCCCCTTCCTAGCACCCCCAGCCATCTCCTGGCTTCCCTCACACTCTGTTATCCTCCCCCGTCCATCCCACGCCCTCATCTCCGCCTGGGTGCCAGCCCCTTTCTCTTGGGAGCACTGCAGCCATGCCATGATTCCCTCAATGGCGTTTTCTTCTCTCGCTACCTCTCCCTCCCCCTCCCCTCATTCCTCATGAGGCCCTCATCTCTGGTGCCATACCAGTACTTTGTTTCCAAGAGCACAACAGCGCGTCGCTGGACGCACTCAACTGTGGCGCTCTATCACTGTCTGTTGCCTCTCTCTTCCCCACCACCAACCATCACACCTTCACCCCCTCCCCCCCCCCCCTCTCATCCCCCCCTTTTTTCCTGCCAGGCGCTGATCTCTGGGTGCATACCCGTGACATTCTTCAGGGAGCACGACAACCCGTGGCAGGACACGCTCAACTACGAGTCCTTCTCCATCAACATCGACCCCGACGACGTGCCGTCGCTCAAAGAGCGCCTCGCCAAGGCAGACGTGCCGCAGCTGCAGAAAGGGGTGCAGCAGGTGCAGGTGCGTGAGGGGCTTTGAGTAGCAGCCATGCCGCCGCCTGCCTCAACCTAAATCACTCTCTTTTTCAACATCCATCCGCACCGTGTGCCGTCGCTCAAAGATGCTGGCGAAGGCCAACGTGCGGCAACTGCAGAAAGGGGTGCAACAGGTGCAGGTGTGTAAGATGGCGAAGGTATCATTACCTTGAGACTTCTCTGTCATCCTCCAAGGCTAACGAGCCGTGGCTGCTGAAGGGCGTGCAGCAGGCGCAGGTGCGTGGTGAGACATTCGGTGGCTGCCCCCTCACTGATTCATGAACCGAAACTTGGGCAGATCAACAACAATAGTGACTTTTGCTCCTTTTTTATTTGCCTTACTCATACCCACTTCGTTATCCGCGCATGTACAGTCAACCCCTTGTGCCTCACTCCGTGCCCTCTACCGGTGGATGGGGCCATGGTTCTCTCATAGCTCAAGGTGCTTTTCCCATGTACGCTCGTGCACCCATCCTCAGCACGCTGTTTCCTCCCGCTTCTCCCTTTGGCTGCAGTCGCTCTTCCGATGGACGGGTCGTGGAGCAAGGGAGCGAATCCATGCGCCTGCAGGAGCTGAGCGCAAGAATGACATTGCTCCTCGTGTGCCTGTGTTCACCCGTACTGCATTCCCTACCGTGTGTCATTTCATCCCCATCACCATCGCAGGCTCTCTTCCAGTAGACTGGGTCATGGCTTGAGGGAGCAGAGCAGAGGTATCCGTCCATGCTGCTGCAGCAGCTGAGAGCCAGAGCGACCCTGCTCCTCGGGTGCACCTGTTCACCCATGCCGCCATACTTATTGCCCACCTCCATCCCCTTCCCCCATCCCCTTCCCCCGTCCCCTTCCCCCATCGCAGGCTCTCTTCCGGTGGACGGGGTCGTGGAGTGAGGGAGCCGAGTCCATGCTGCTGCAGGAGCTGAGGGCCAAAGTGGCCTTCTTGCATCGTTTCAAACAAGGCTGAACCGCTGGAGTCATGCAACATGTTCAGATTTTTTTTTTTTTTTTTTTGTTGAGACGTATGAAGTACATCAACAACATACGTACACCAAGACATCATATGGCAAAAGTTCGAGTTGAGCTTTTGAGCAAGCAGTCTAAAAAAAGGGTGCGTGTTGCGCGTATCCTTCTCTCAAGGTAATGAATTGACCAGAATAGGGCATATAGGGTATTTTTGTTCACAGTTGTTGGAAATACCTCGAAGACTTAAGCGTTTCTGAAGTGTAACACTACACTCGAGGAAAGTCGTATCGAGTATGCGAGTCAATGGAGGTTACACGAGGGGGTTGGACGAAAGAACATGAAAGAACGAAGGAACTCAAAGGGTCGCAACCAGAGGTTGCGATTGACCGTTACGACTCCAAGGGTGGTAACAGACCAACAATCGAGTCGCTGTGCGACTCGATAAACCGTTCCTTCAACTGTATTCTACAACTGCTTCATTTCTTATTTTCTATATATTGCAGTATGCTTGTTTCTTTTAATCAATCACTTGCTCTCATATACTAGTGCAAGGGTTCAACTACTCAACACTTCGGCTGCACTACTCAAGCATCTTGTACAAGTGGGACTTAGTCTTTGGAAAGATCCCAAGGGCTTTTCTCAGCCCAACAACAGTGTTGTACTCTCTATGGTATGCTCTTAGCTAGCCTATATATATATACAAATACATATGTTGACACATCCCCTAGGCTAGACAAGGGGCAGTGCTAAAAACATTGAAATCAGGCCCCCAAATTGGTTTTGGGCCTGTCTGATTCGTTAGACTCCCCTGCCAACCCTTCGTATGGTTGTCAGAGATGCCCATTGGAAAAAGTCTGAAAATCAGAGTCAAGTTTTTTCTTGTCTGGAAAATCATAGTAATAGCTTAGCTTTTGTATGAGCCTATTTTTTTAGTTTAGGGACTGCACATAATTTTACAGCATAGCATTTCCAATCGATATACATATCATCCTGCTGAGCCACTGCCGGCATATCTACATCATCTACCTTTTCCTTTCCCTTCCTGCTATGGCCCTCGGGCAGGGGGTTGCGAAGGGGCTTCCTCTTCTTGTAAGCCCGCTAGATGGAGACCACCTCTTCCCAATCGGGATGTTAGGATCGACATGCACATCAGATCTCCTAGCCTAGTTTCTTGAAGAGCCCCCCGCAGCCAGCTCTTAATGATATTCATGCGGGAGAGCCCGCGCTCGCAGTCGACGGTGCTGATGGGAAGGACTACCAACGCCACCCACCGGTTGACCAGGTTGGGGTAATTGTCCCTCCAGTCCTGTGTCTTCACCATGGTGCTTAGCCTTGCCTGGAATTCCTGGTCCGCCTTGGGAAGCGCAGCAAGTACATGGACGAATTTGCGGAGCTCGCTCTGGGCATTGGGCTTGTCCATGCCTGCTCAGACAAGGACACACGAGGGAGAAGGGATGGGTTATTGGTGGAAGTACACAAGCTTGAGAAAGTAAGCTGGAAATATAAACAAAGGCATTACCGAAGGGATACAGGGTGGAAAGAAGAGGGTGTCTTACATGCCAGAATCTTGTCCCAGTCCTCAGCGAGGTACAGGGCCACGAGCGAGTTGAACCACTCGAGGCATTACAACCTCCGTGCCTGATGGTCCCAGTTGGGCAGCCATGTGTTGATGCTGAACAAACGAGCTTCCGACAGCTGCCACCGATCGCCAAGGCGCTCGTCGCTGTTGTGGACCAGCCCCTCTGCCAGGGCCATGCACGCCACAACGTTACCATTGTGGTCGTAGGCCCCCGAGTAGTCCTCCAGGGGCTCTTAATGCAGCTCAAAGGTGAACCGTGAGGGTCGGTCGTCGGAGTCGATTCCCTCCACTGTCACCAGCTTCGACTTGCCAGGCCCGTGCTTGGCAAGGAACCGCGTGAGTCGATCGTTGGGCCCACCGCCGAACTTGTCTCCATAGTCCACATAGCGGCTCTCCAGCAGGGAGGTTGTGTAAATGATCTGTGCGTGCACCATCGTATAGTCGAGCTGGTGTATGGGGAGCAAGGAGATGGCACTCACCCTTGTCCATGATGAACCTCGGTTTGAGGTCAATTCCATGATGATGCCACCGCCGTTATCGAAATGGCACTCTGAAGCTACTTATTTGCTCAAAGGGTTTTGATTCCTTTGAGGACATCTGGGTCTCCGAATCCACGATAGGTAACGCCCAACGCCCTCTTTGCGAGTACCTTGTCACTTCTACCACCCAATTTTGAGGGGGGAGTGTGAGAGTTCAATCCCGTTACACTTCTTTCTCTTCTCTCTGTTTCTTCTCCATCTTATTCTCCCTTTTATCCCGATTCATTTGGTATTTAACTCATCTCAATTGGTTTCCTACTCTTTATTTTCCATTACCCTTTGTCTTCTCCTATTATTGTAATTATAAGAAGGGTGCGGCGGGCCTACGAAGCATCGTCATATGGCATGCAGGATGGCAGAAAAGACTGATAGGCTTTAGAAGATGCACGAGGAGAAGCTTTCTGTCCATGCGGTTGCACGCGAGGCTGGCGTCAAGCCTGTGATCATCCACCAGTTGAGGTTAAAGAAGGCCAAGATGTCACGTGCCACTTTTCCAGGTGATAACTCTCTGGTGGTGACTTTGCCACAAAGTACACAGCCATGTAGCTGGTTGTGTACAAGAAGTTCATTGGCCACCGCTTGGGAGACCTGGCTTCCCCTATCTGCATCCTGCTGATCTGAAGTTGCGAAAGGATTAGAGAGGACTGGAGGGCGTCTTCAATCTGGTCATTCTGGTTTCGCATTAGGTGGATTCAAGACGAATATTGGGTGGTGCCGTATGCTGTTAAAATTGTCAACGCTGTTAGAATCGTTCGTTCTTAGAAAGTGCTGCTGTTGAGTGTCACACGCGTATCCAAGAGCAAAATGTTCTGACATGTTGTGTGCAGGAAATTCATTGACAGTAGCGTCGATCCTTGGAACATGGTCAACGCTGACCAACTCCAGTCTTCATAGAGATGTCGTACTTGCGCATTCAGCACCGAGGTGGACACCGTTCTGTGCAAGTTGAAGTGCCGAATATGACAGGGAACACGGTTATGCTGCCATGGCCATATGGAGGAAGGTTCCTCCCATTGTGATTTTCAAGAGGGCCACCTTCCCCAACGTCCGAGGCCCTCCAGATGACTAGCTCTGTTGGTTTTGAACCGTTGCTGTCACTGTGCTAATTTATTCCCGTAGTCTTTTTGCATGTAGCTCATCCGTTCCTGGAAACGTGTCTAGATGGACTCCAGCCTCGTCCAAGACTAGGTGCAGCACGATTTGCAGATGGCATGAGGTCGTGAGGGGCAATCAGCTTAAAAATATGGTCGAAATTAGGAAATACCATTGGTAGAGCGGGTGGCGCTGGTGGTGCGGGATGAGCTGGCAGACAGTAGGCGGTAGAGGCATTGGCGCTGCAACGCCTCCAATGCCCCTAGAGCTGTAACAGACGAGACATGGGAAACACGGGCATAAGAACATGCTTGTCTAGCAGCTTGAGACTGTTCAATGAACTAAGGAGCCGATATGGCTCAGTGTTGAGAGCATGCTCCACCTACCTATGAGTGAAGGAACAGATGTCATAAAAGGCACACTTCTATTTGTTTTCTGCATGCTCGAAAATCTGGGATTGAGACAGGTTTCATAAAAGACAGGGTTGGGAGGGACGTGCCTTCGGCGTCGCTCATGATGGGAAAAAAACCCTGCCTTGTTGGTGTGTCGGGGCGGTAGATTCTGAATGGACCCACCACCCCACCTGTAATCCGTTGTGTTTTCTGTGAAGATGCTCTCATCTTAGGCTAGTATGATGAAGTTCGCAGCCGACAGGCCCAGGAAAGTGACTCGTGTCCATCTAGTAGTGGCTTCGACAACGCGTTGATAACATTCGGCCTCTTTTGCTACAAATACAGCCCTCAAAGTAAGTCTCACATACTGAACACAACATGTATGTTAGAAATCTTTCGCTGCTCTGCACGTATTGCCACCTTGTTACTAGTAATTACTCCTTCTCGGGGTCACCTCCAAGGATCCTTGGGTGCCTGGTGCGAGGTACTAGCCCCTATCCACAGTGTGTGAGTAATCACCTATAAGCCAAGGCTGCAACAGCTGGAGACTTGCACAACAATACCGTTCCACCAGGGTTTCCACAACGATGTGGGACAGTAGCTTGTAGCTTTCACTCAAAGAAAAAGTATGATGCAAAGGAAACACGCAAGTCTATGTACTCTACTCCACTCGAGATTCATATGCATGCAACCCCCCTCAATCTAACTGAACCATGGGATTTCTATGGGACTGCCATAGGACTTCCATAGGACTCCTATGAGACTCTTGTGGGACTTCCATGGGACTCCTGTGGGACTTCCATGGGCTTTCCATGGGCCTTCCATGGGTTGTCAATGGGCATACCATAGAGCCCACCCACAGATAACAAATATACACGCAAGCATAGCAATATTGAGCATCATTACAAGAGTTATCCCATCGCCATGTTGTTGCAAAGGAAGAGGCGAATAACAGAGGAAACTTTGCACCAACATACCCCCCCTGAACCTGCCGAATCTTCAATCTCTCATTTCCTTTATTCAAACTCATGTCATGTCACTCATCCTCACACCCCGCCAGTGAGGTTACTCCGCTAGTCGCTTGGTGAGAAAGTTAGCCATTTGTTGGTGAGTCTTGATGCAGTTGTACTGTAGTTTACTACGCCTCGAATCACTTTCTTGTGAAACCAGTGCCACTCGATCTGCATATAGTGTATTTGTTGAGGCCGTGAAGGACTGCATTATTTGCCATAGCCAATTCCCTACTACTGTCATTTTAGAGGGGAGTAAACACCTTCTCTTGCCCAATATCCTCTAACAGCCGTCGAAGCCATATCACTTCCTTGACTATGTGGTACAATGCTATGTACTCTGACTCCACCGAGGACAGTGCAATCTCACGGGTATAGTGCTTCTTGGATCTCCAACTCACTGATCCTCCTTCCACCACGTAAACATGTTCCCCCAACTGAGGAGGAGTCCCCAGCTTCAGAAGCTTATGATGTATCAGCGAAGCAGGATAGGAATAGCTGTCCTTTGCCAAACATCTCTCTCTCCCTTGCTTCGGAGCTTTTATCCCCTTTTGTTTAGATTGAGCGGAGGTTGCGTATAGGACCTTTACAGTAGAAGTTCAAGAACTTCACCAGTCTTTCAGCCGAATCCACCTATTCTTCAGT